AAATTGTTTCATATAATAATTTTTTTTGATGAAGTTGTTTCATATATGGTTATGAAATTGTTTCATATACTACTTAATGAAATTTTAATGAAACTGTTTCATGTATTTCTCTAAAATTAAAATAACGAAAAAAATAATATCCATGATTAACATCCTCCACAATAAAAATGATTAATCAACCTCTTATAATTACAAAAAAAATGAACAAAATGAAAAATTATGATTGGTGGAATGAAGTTTTTACGGTTTTTACAATGAATGATTTTCATTTGATCGTTTCCATATATATATATATATATATATATATATATATATACCCATATAGAGGAGTGATCGCCTTCATTTGTGTAAACCGTGCAAACCACCTTCATCCGTCGATTTCATTGTTTAATCTTTTGGAATTTTTTCATGAAATTGTTTAATCTTGTGAAATTGTTTCATATAATACTTTTTTGATGAAGTTGTTTCATATATGGTTGTTAAATTATTTCATATAATATTTAATGAAACTGTTTCATGCCTTTTTCTAAAATTAATGAAACTGTTTCATGTATTTCTCTAAAATTAAAATAATGAAGATGATAATATCTATGATTAACACCCTCCACAATAAAAATGATTAATCAACCTTTCAAAATTACAAAAAAATGAACAAAATGAAAAATTATGATTAGTTGAATGAAGTTTGCACGGTTTGTACAAATTCAGTGGTTTGCATTTGATCGCTCCCCTACATATATATATATATATATATATATATATATATATGTGTGTGTAAAATTCACAAAATTTCATTTATAGTGGGCAACCAATTTGGTTCGTATATGTACTATATAATAAACCCATCAATGTGTATAAAGTCGTCAAATCTAATTAGAACCGACCAAAGTCGAATCTAATTAGAATAACCCATAATCCAATAAAACCGAACAAATTCAATTGATAAAAGGGATTTTTCATAAAACCGTTTGATTGATTGCACATCATATAATTTTTGGATCACATTTTATCTGTAGATGACTAAAAACACCCCATAAATAAATGTAATTCAGTAACAAATTTATAATAAATGAAGTGGGAACAAAATAACTGTAAAACAATTTATATTTTTCTATAAAAGCACTTATCAACTTATTATAAGTCAAAAGGGTTTAACTTCTTCAAAAACTTCTTATTACCGGTTTGACACCGGTATAAATTGTTTATCCAAACACTTAAAAAATACTTATTACCAATATCAAATCAAAATAAGTCGATAAGTTATTTTTATAAACAATTTTTAAACTATGTAGGTCAATCAAATTCTTGGTTCCTTAATGTTGGTGCAAGAAGCTTTTCCCGCCATCACCCCAAAAACCCATCGAACTTCAAGATTTCTGCAACAATTTCTCTTCAACATCTTCCAAAGCGCCAATACCGTTAGAAAGACCACCCAAATCCACACCCAGATAATCATCAATGCCTTTACCCAAAGAAATTTCATCATTGTCAAGTTGCTTCAATCCTATGTATCTTCAGGTTATCTTCATCAAGCCCACCAAGTTTTTGAACAAATCAACAACCCTAGCACTACTTCCTGGAATCAAATCATTAGAGGGTATGCTTGGACTGATACGCCTCGTGAATCAATCCATTATTTTGATGAAATGCTGGCATCAGGAGAGATACCGGACGAGTATACTTACTGTTATGTAATGAGTGCGTGTGCTAGGGGGAAATTGTTGCGACTGGGAGAGAAGTTTCATGGGAGGGTTTTAGCAGGCGGGTTTTGTTCAAATCTGTATCTGCAAACTAATTTAGTGAATCTTTATGCTGTGGTTGGGGAGGGAAACTATGGTGGAATTAAGAATGCACATAAGGTGTTTGATGAAATGACCGAGAGAAATGTGGTGACATGGAATACACTGCTTGCTGGGTATGTCAAGTGTCGTGATATCGATGGGGCATGTAGAGTGTTTGATGTAATGCCGGAGAGAAATATTGTTTCATGGACAACATTAGTTTCAGGGTTTGCACATAATGGGGGTTGTAAGGAAGCATTATCTTTGTTACGTAAAATGTTACAGGCTCGTATGGAATTCGATCAAGCGATCCTGGTGGCTGCTTTATCTGCTTGTGCAGAGATTGGTGATTTGAAGATGGGGAGGTGGATCCATTCTTACATTCACAGGAGTTGGCACATGAAGAACGAAGAACACACAGTTTGTCTAAATAATGCACTCTTGCACATGTATGCCGGTTGTGGTCTTATTGATGACGCGTATGAACTATTCAAGCGAATGCCCATTAGAACTACAGTCTCGTGGACGACCATGATCTCAAGTTTTGCAAAACAAGGCCGTGGGAAAGACGCTCTAAGTCTCTTCCAGTCGATGGAAAATGCAAAAGATGATAGTCCAAAACCAGATGCCATAACCATACTAGCTGTCTTGAATGCCTGCAGCCATTCTGGTTTTGTTGAACAAGGCCGTCGTGTCTTCAAAAACATGAATCTGATTTGGGGAATTAAGCCCAAAATCGAGCATTATGGCTGCATGGTTGATCTTTTAAGCCGTGCTGGCCTCTTGGATGAAGCACTCACGCTTCTCGAATCTATGCCCATGGACCCAAACGACACTATCTGGGGCGCACTTCTTGGTGGTTGTAGAATCCACAAGAATGTAAAGCTTGCATCTTTAATTGCTCAAAAGATTGCTAACTTGAATCTTGAAGATGATAAAGTTGCTGGCTATCTAGTTCTATTGTCAAACATATATGCGGGTGCCAAGAAATGGAAAGAGGTTGCAAATGCTAGAGAAAAGATGGTTCAGTTGGAAGTAAGAAAGCCTCCTGGAAGAAGTTGGGTCCAAATAGGTGGATCGGTTCACGAGTTCTTGGCAGGCGATACGATTCATAAGCGCACATCTTTGATCTACAAGATGCTTCTTTTAGTCACAATCGAAGCCGGGTTAAGTGGATATGAGCCTGATGTTTATGAGGCAGCAGCACAAACTTAAAGTTGCCCAACAGGTATTGTTTGCTAATTTGTTGTAAGCAAAGAAACATTGATTCTATGTACATCCGGTAAGTGCTTAACGATAAAATTTAACACTATTATTTACTTACCGGGTACGATTTTAGTCTAACAAAACAACATCGCATGCAACAATTTACCCGGTAAACGCTTACAGAGTTGTCGCCCTCTCTTACCGGATAAGACTCTTGGTCCTTGTCTCGCTCTTACCGGGTAAGATTATTGGTTCTTACCATATTCATCCGGTGAGGTAATGTTACTTGGTAAATGCTTACCTGGGTAAGCGTTTGGTAAACGGACCCTTAATTATGTTGGTTATGATTATATGTTGATTAATGCACACATGGACTCACCTAAGGGTAAAGCGACAATTTCTATGAAGACCATGTATTTGTGAAAGTGTGACAAAGAGAGAAAGTGAGGAACGATAAAGATTTAAGATTTAAAATGCGGGCTAGGAAAAAGTAAAAACATACAAAAAGAAGCATCTTAGCTAAATTCCTAAAGGTCTAGGGGCCGTTTACCAAATACTTAACTGGTAAACCGATCAAATTCAACACTATCATTTACTTGTCCGGGAAGATTTTTGTTCACGAAAACGACATTGTATGCAATAATTTATCTGGTAAGAGTCATCGTCCTCACTTACCGGGTAAGACTATTTTCCTTGTCTCGCTTTTACCGGGTAAGATTCTTGGTCCTTACCACATTCATCCGGTAAGGTCATGTGACCTAATAAACTCTTACCCAGGTAAGCGTTTGGTAAACAGCCACTTAGAAAGAATCAAAGATGATGTTTGCTTGTGGTTATGGTTGATGTGAAAGTTGATTGTTTTGATAAAGCATCTTTGCATATTGCTTTTGTTCAACGTGCTGCATTTTACTTCATGCTTGGGTAACTCCGAGGAGCTCCTTTTCCAATTGGATTTGGATTTGGATTTGGATTTGGATTTGGATTTGGATTTCTTCTTGGGATGGTTTAGTTCGAGCTTGATTCGAGTACGAGCTTAAGAAATAGTTATCGAGTTTGAGTCAAGCTTTGATTTTTACTACTTGCGAGTTTTTGAGTCGAGTTCGAGCTTGGAAATTGGGTTTCAAGTTCGAGTCGAGTATAGTGATACTCGAGTTCGACTCGCATCATTTACACCCCTAGTCCGCACACCACTCAGTCCACTCAATGAGTGTATTATTACATATGATAGGGAGGGTCTTTCGTGGGGTTGATTAAGGCATACATATAATAAATACCCTTATTGTCTACGTTTTTTGGTAGAATACACGAAATTTCCTAGGTTTTTCTTCTCTTGTTCTTATCGAAATTCATATGGAAGACTAATCGATTCGTCAAGTTCAAGTTCGTATTTTGAACGGATTGTTGTATCCTCTAGATAGACGTCTAAATTCACCGGACAAATTTTTGTCTAAGGACACTGCCACCCGCTGGCCTCAATCCCGTATTCATTTTTCGTCGGATTTTCATCATAAATAATCGAGTTATTCATCGTTTCTTACTTATTAGATTGTTGTGTTTCATATATATATATATATATATATATATATATATATATATATATATATATGGTTTTTGTTTCGATCTGTATCGTTGTACGAACGAAATTCGATTCCTGAATCTAAGGGGGCGTTTGGTACGTAGAATGGAATTAGATGGAATTGGAATTCATCTAATGAATTTGACTTTGAGGGAATGAAATGGAATTTGACCATGTCTTTTGATTGCATTTGGTTGGATGGAATTGGAATGAAATTCTTAACGGAATTGGAATTTTTTTTGTTTCGTTAATGGAATTCAACGAGAAAATTACATAGATGGCATTTCAAGAAAATCCTTTTTAGGATGGAAAGAACGAGATAGAGAGAGAGAGAGAGAGGGAGGTCGAGCATACCAGATCGAGCATAGTGAATGAGATCGAGCAGTTTTGAATAGGGATGACAAAAAAAACTGATGGTGAAAACCGAAACTTTCGGGCCGGGTTCGGGGACAAATTCGGGGATTTTAACGGGGGCGGGGACGGGGATCATCGACCCGGCCTGATATGTGTATATATTATAATTTTAATTTATATATATATATATATATATATATATAATATCATTAAAAAAATAGTAACATTAAAATTTAAAAAAAATTTATCCACTTTACATCAACAACCCAAACAAGGCTTATGAAAAACCTAGTTTATTTGTCTAATTGTGAAATCATGATTTTAGTTGTATGATGTTTGAAGTTCTGTTTAGTTTTATATTGTAATCTAATACATTATTTGTAATTGGTTCGAATATGTTTGAGACATTTAAACTTGCATCTTTGAAAAAATCGTAATTTTACTTTTACTTGTGAAAATTAACATATTGTGATTTTTTTAGATCTGTTTCGGGTTTCGGTTTTGGGTTCGGTTATAACCAACGGTGAACGAGAAAAAGAGGATTTTTACCTTAATGGGTTCCCCAACGGGGATCGGGGAAACCGCGGGTCACGGGGACGGTTTTAGTTATCGGTTTCGGGGACGTGGATACCAATAATCGGCCCGAACATGGCCCGTTGCCATTCTTAGTTTTAAACGAGATCGAGCATAGCAGAGCAGAACAAATCGAGATACAGCTTCGATGAATTTGGATGAGGGCTAAGGAATTTGTCGGATTGGAATTTGAAATCCATGGTATATGCGGTGAAATTGTGAAATTAATAACTTAAGGAATTTGTTGGAATTGGAAGGATTCCTTCACATCTATTATGCGAATCAAACATGATATTTAGAATTTGGTCAAAGATTTGAACATTCTAATTCCTTCCAATTCCACCAAATTCCATGAACCAAAATACCCCCTAAGTTTTAACACAATAAACTCGATTTTGCATTTTCATTTTATGCAGTTCAGTTGTCGAGTACTCGTGGATTTGTTAGATATTAAAGATTCATAACCTCCCATCAAATCATTTTTCAAGAAAATATGAACATTTCTTTTTTTACCCAATACATATAATAAACACAAAACGACAAAAAACCAAATTACTTTTAATAAATCAATTCAAATACTTAAATTAATATACATGCATAAAGTTTCTCATGAAATTCCTTTAAATAACATATATATACATATATATATATATATATATATAATACAAATTAAAGTTGCAAAATATAAGACCCTAGCCGCAAGGGTGGTGTTCGATTGGTTTGAGTTTCGACTCCAAAGGTCAAAAGTATCTGGAGATCCTATGTTTGAATCCAAGATGGAATAAAAATCTTCTTATGGCTAAGGAGGTTCAAATGCGTCGACTCCGGACTACTCACGATACAGATGGTTTTGAAATTAGTCGGTGTGCATAACAAGTTGGATATCTAAGGTTGATAAGAAAAAAAAATATATATATACCTTTAGTGTCGTGGGGATGAGGTTGTGTGTAATGGGGACTAGCCTAGAGTTGGGCTACATATACCCTTTTTTTCAAAGTTGACTCATTGACTCATTGTGGGGTGGGCCAAGGGTGGCTCCGCCTATCGTTGGTCCCGACTTAGATGACAAAAATTATTAAAATCATTATAGAATACACTGACAAATATAATTACTCAGATATTTTCAAATATTAATTCTTATTGATAATCATATCAAGAATTACACATGGAAACAAATATCACACAAATAACTTACAAAAACACATTAAGAATATTTAACAAGGAACAAGAAACACAACGGGTATTGTTATATTTGCATGTTGGACATAAAAATCGGTTGGGCTCGATCCATATCTAGCTCCAACTAGGCATGGTAACGGGGTGGAGATGGAACGAGTTTTATAATCCACAGCCCCGGCTCCGGCCCCGGTTTTTAGTAACAACCCCTGTCCCTGGTCCCCGACGGGTACAGGGATTAACATCCCGTCCCCGGTCAAAACCCTATCAAACCCCATGAAGAATGGCCGTTAGTTTGAGTTTACCGGGGATCCCCGACCCTAACCCCGGTTTGAGTAACAACCCCTAGCCCCAACTTGAGTCTACCGGGGATCCCCGGCCTCGGGACCCATTTTAACGGGGAATCCCCGTCCCGGTTTGGGTCGGGTAAGCCGGGTTCCCCACCGGATCGGGACAAATCACTATTCTTAGCTCCAACCCTACAAATAATCATCTATAATTTAGAATGATTCGGCTAACTATGTTAAATCCATTTTTCTCGGACCAATTTAGACCAATTCTAACCGGGACAACAAATATCAAATTTGACACCAAAATCACTCCAACGAGTACATTAATTTGGTGTAATTAACAGTAAAACACCAAATTTGGTGTAACACTATTCATATACATTAATGGAAAAAGATTAAAAGAAATATAAATGAACTCTTAGGGTTTAGGGTTTATGTAGTTTTGAATTTACAAGATGGTCATCTTGATTTGCAAAATCGTTCGGATTTGATCTCTCTCTAACTCTCGTTACATAACTTTGTTAAATGAAGGACATTTTTGTTTTTCTATCTTTTACTCAATCAAAAACCATAGGGACCAACGTCGTAAAATGGATTTTGATTGGATAAAAGACAAGAAAGAAATCGATAACATTACGAAAATGCCACTTATTTAACATGATCTTTTTAACGGTCGTTAAAAAAAATCATACTCGGATGTATTTACAAAACCATAAATCACAATGATCATCTAATTGTGAGACCGTAAAGAAACCACTTCGACCAAATCTGTAATTTACTCTCAATTATAACCGAATACGTGTGAAATGTGCAAGCTTTTTCGAACCAGCCAAGTCACATCAGTTGACTTTTTGAATATTTTGGAAGATTTGAAAATATCTCACGTGTGATGTTTGTTCTTGTCAAATATCGACCAAATGTATTCTTATATACCAGAAGTTCTGATACTTGCGTAATACAACGAAATATATCGAGATAATGTTGTCTTTCATTTTTTGTCTATGTCGATATAATGTGGTTTTATGTGATTTTGAGAAAACGATAATGTTTTTATTTATAAAAATTTAAAACAAATATATTGATATTAGTATCAAATTAACTATTTACAAATTTTCATCTTTTATGTAATTTTTTAATTCTATAATTTAATTTATGTTTAATAACGAAGTAATTTATTTTTGATTTAATAATATAAATTAAATTAATTAGATTTTTTTTGAATTATTTATTAATATAATAACATTAAAAAATTGTAGATCACAGTTTATTTCGTTAACATTTTAAAGACAACTTTAAAAAATATGTATTTATTTGAACAACATAAAATAAAAAGTGTTACTTTTTTTACAAACAAAATATATCTCGAAAATAATATTTTATTTTTATTTAAGAAATATTTTACTCTAGAATATTTAATTTACATGCAATTTAATAAAAAAAATAAAAAAAATTAAATGTTCTTTTTAGATCGTAACAATAAAAAATGAAAATTACTAATAATAATTTGAAATAGTTTTATTTTTATTTTAGTTAAGTCATCAAAATAATATATCATCCAAATCACTTCATTAAAGTCACACAAACAAAAAAAATCAAGGGGTTAATCAGTTTAAAAGATAACATGTTAACCATTGTTATTATAGGTAGATTTTTTAAAGTACGATGCCTTAATAAAAAATAATTTAAAAATATATTATTGTAATAAAAAAAAACAAAAGTAGAATGATATAATAAATTTTTTTTTATGAAAATGGGTTGTTATTTCGTTTATTTAACACTTAGAAAAAATGTTAAAGTATTTAGAATAAAAATAAATATATAATTGTTGAAGAGAATATCCGAATCCGAACAAACGATGATTCAAATTTCAGGTAACTCAGCGTGGAGTTTATCTCAATAAATGTGCACTTTTGTTTGGTAATCCCAAGAAGATCGCAAGTTTTTCTGGGGGTTACAGATCAAGAACATCCTCATCAAACGGAGAATCATAGTGGAAAAAGTGGAGCTAATCAGCATGAATTCATCTGGTAAGCATCGAATTGAACTTCATGTTCCCAGTTTTTGATATCTCTCATGTTTATTTGTATCTGTTTATTCAGTTTTTTTGCGATCCTTCTTCGATTTGAGATTTGATTTTGTGAAAATGCTAAAGCGTTTTACGGTCGAAATAGCTGTATTTCAACTCCAAATTCGAAAAGGTTTTTAAGGAAGTTTCTAGAAGGATTTGATTATTGGATTGAACTATAAAACTTATGCCAAATGTTGAAATTTTTTGGTGTAAAATCTGCTTCAAATTTTAAATCAAAATCAAATTGTAAGTGCTAACTCTAGATAAGTTCATCCCAATTTTACTTTTGATTTCAAGCAATCAATAGTCAATCTTTTGCTTGTTATTCTGTTATTTGTTGTCTGATTGTTAAAAACTGCAGAAATTTTTTAATAGAATCGGCAAATTAGTCATTTTTGACATTATTTGTTGTAACAACTGAAAACAATATATCTTAAATCATGTAGACAACTTAATCAATATAGACAGTTTTATCTATATATTACTTAATGGAAAACCAACCGAAAAGCCCCTTAGATCCTTTATTAGAAGCTTAGGTGAGTGTTCAATTGTCTAGTTTTTATTGGTATTATTATATATTTGTAGTAAAATTACGCTTATTTACTTTACATTTCTAAATATGTGTCAATATTGATCATTTTGATATAATGTATGACATTCTTGAACTCAAATGGCAAAGAGTCCAAACAAAGAATTAGAAGAAAATTTGTCACTTCTGGTTTATATAGACGGCAACGAATAATAATCACAAGGAAATGGTAGTTGGATTGGGCTGTGACTTAATCCTTTATTTAGAGCATTGATTCACCTGTATGTTCGATATAATTGGAATTATGCATATCACTAATATTTGATTTGAAGACACTTTTGCTTTTGTAAACAACTTGTTTTAGCTATGAAATAGAACAAGTGCTTTTTCACTCCAAGAACACACCACTTTGTTATCCACAAGGGTGGTAGTGTAGTGGATAAAGACAAAGGGGATGATAAAATCAATCTGGGTTTGAATACTGCCATCTACATATGCACTTGTGGCCATTGGGAGCTTTACCTCAGGGCTGTGGGTGAACCCTACCGTCACGATTTACCATGGAATTGGTCTGGGTGAAGCCTAAGATCATCCATTTCCAAAAAAAGGATCATTTTGACATTTGAGCTCAAATCTACTACTTTAGAAAGAAAAGTTTGTATAAGTCCATATGCAAAGTATAAAGCAGTATTTTGCATTCTGTGATACTTGTTCTTACTTTTCTGTAGCATTCATTTTTTAAAAACTATATGAACTGTTATCAGTTTGAAGTTAGAAAGTCAAACTTTTGACCTCAAAATCTGAATTTAGCTTCTTCTGAAAAGGGGTACAAAATGTTGGACTTGAATGGTTGCATTGGGTGTTTATTTCATGTCTGTTTAAAGTTGTGTAATGTTTTTGATTGGTATAATGTGTGGCCAGGTTGTGCTATCGTTACTTTTCTTCTACTTTTTATCGGGTGTTCTGCAAGAACTCTTCATCCACTTCCAAGTGATAAGAATGAGAAGAGGAAAGAGCCCTTGCAGACTTTTCGTCCATTTAACGTTGCTCATCGGGGTTCAAATGGAGAACTCCCAGAGGAAACTGGTCCTTCATATCTGGTACATCTTTTATCGCATACACTTTAGACACAAAAGTCAAAATTTGATGTCTTTTTTTTTTCAAATTCAAGCATGCTATTTTTTGTTGTAGATATTTTAGTTACTTCTCCTTGCAATATTCATTCTATCCTGCTAATTTAGGGAAATTGACCAAATTGGCCATTTTAGACGAATATCTTCACTTTTTAGCCAACTTTTTCATGTTTGAACCATATTAGCGAAGATTTCTTATACCTCTTTCGCAACCTGCAAAATGTACTTTTTATGAATTAAACATGATTCTGGTGGGTCATTTCGCAAGCCAAAAGGACATTTTGCAGCCTGCCACGCCAATTTTGCAAGCCAACCCAAGCAACATTTTATTTAATTCAGGAAAAGTAGATTTTGCAGGTTGCAAAAAGGGCACTTTAGAAATCTTGGCTATTTTGGTCAAATTGAAAAAAAGCTTAAAGGTGAAGATGTTATTCCCAAATGGCTAGTTTGGTCAATCTCTCACTAATTTTCATACTGTTAATGTAATTTATCAATTTTCACTGCATAACCAAAAGGATCATCATCAGTTATGATTTATGAAGTTATATAGAATCTCATTTGACACTTAAAAGGTCATCATAATCACAAGTCCTGAATTTCTGCAATCTTTATGATACAGAAGTTTTCTTTCGAAAACTTATTTCATTTGAATAGCTATGCAGACAATTTTTGTTTCCAATAATACCCTTTTAATTGTTATTAGTATTCCTAGTAGGAATGAAAGATTTTAGTTCTCCAAATGCTTTAGTAAATTCAATCTTTTTTCTTGAAATGGTTAACATCTTCTGAAATCTTGGTTATTTTGGTTTCTTACAGAGAGCAATTAAAGAAGGAGCAGACTTCATAGAAACAGATATATTAGTTAGCAAAGATGGTGTTCTTATGTGCCATCATGATGTTATACTTGATGATACAACTAATGTTGCAGAACATAAGGAGTTTGCAGACCGAAGGAGGACATATGAAGTTGAAGGGGCTAATGTAACTGGACTTTTTATATGTATGCTCACTTTCCTTGAGTTTTTATTTAAAGATCAATGTTAATTTATTTATTTATATCTGTGATAGCGGGGGCCGGCTTTGAACATCTGGTAAGGTTATTTATTCCTAGTTGATGCACCTTTAAGGTAATTCAAAGACCCACAGAGTCGCTCAACGTGTTTTTAGGTGAATTCCACAATTTCAAGGGATTGTTTAAGATTTTTGGTTGATTTTTTCAGTTTTTTGGTTGATTTCTTTATATTTTCTAATATCCCGGAGCACCCCTCAAAGTCTAGTGTTTGCACCTCTCATACCCCAAAAAGAAATTCTACTTGCAAAAATCGGTTGAGCGGGTGCACAGGACCCCACTGGGCCTTCATAGGTGCCCCCCCTTGAGCCATGGGAATTTTCCTTGCTGTTATCTTGAGGGGCCCCATGGGCCATGGGATAATCGAGGTGCGCGCAAGGTGGCTTGGACATCTATAGTTATAAAAAATACTGAATTTTGATGCATCGAGGGTTGCCTTTTTGTTTACCTACAAGAAAGTAGTATCGATTAATGTCATTGTGTAAATAACTTGTTAGTTACTTGACTATTTGCAGTTGATTTTACATTAGAAGAACTAAAAACTTTGAAGGCAAAGCAGAGGTATTCGTTCCGTGATCAACAATATAATGGTTAGTACCCTTTTGACTCCTAAATAGTCAAACGTTTCTTTGTCAAAACTACATTTTCATTCATCTAGCCAAGGCTATACATTCGTGATCAAGTCTGTGCCGGTCAATCCAATGGGCCCTACGTGCATATATTATCGTATGGATCTAGTTTCTAACCGGTCACTCTACTCTTTGGGGGTAGAGGTCAGGTCTATGTACATCTTACCCCCAAACCCCACCTCAGGTGGGACATACTGGGCTCATTTGGTTTGTTTCGGTTTGGTTTTTTTTTACGGATCTAATTTCTAAGATATATCAATATTTGTTATGCCCATGAACAGGAAAGTTTCCTATTATTACATTCGAAGAGTACATTTCGATTGCGATAAACGCTCCAAGGGTCGTTGGAATATATCCAGAAATTAAAAATCCTGTATTGATGAACCAGCATGTGAGTTATTTTCTCGACATTTGATTTCTGTATGTCGGCGTTACACCAGTTGCATGAATTAAACTTACATTCCAACAGGTGAAATGGCCTAAAGGGAAGATATTTGAAGATGTCTTTGTGGAAATTCTGAAGAAACACGGGTATGAAGGTTCATATTTGTCGAAAGAATGGCTTAAACAGCCTTGTTTTATTCAGTCATTCGCCCCATCATCACTTGTTCACATCCACAATAAGACAGATCTACCGAAGGTCTTCCTCATTGATAATGTGGATGTAACAACCCAAGACACGAATCAGGTAAAAAGATCATAGCATGATTCATGAATATGTTAACCTTGAGTGACAGCTGAACCGGTAAATAAAAAGGGGGTCATTTGGTTAATTGACCTTCTGCCAAGTTTTTTTTTTTAAATCCACGACCTTCTGCGAGGTTTGAGAATGTCACTGCTTAACAGAAGAATGCCAAAAAAACTTGACGGTAGGTCATGGATTTAAAAAGGGAAATTGACCAAAATAGCCCATCTCTCCAACCAAAATCACTTTTTAGTCATTTTATGAATCAAATACTCATTTTAACTTAAAATTTACAAAAATGCCTTGCGCATTTTTTTAAACTTGATTTTTCAGATTTTTTTTTTTTTTTGTGTAATGTGTAATTTGCATAACGAATTTTTTCCCCTTCTTTTAATATGACAATAGATTCTACACAAATGCATAAATCACTTGCGTAAACTCCGGCTAAAATAGGAATTCGGTTTCAAAAGTGGCTAAAAAGTGAATTTGATTGGAGAGATCGGCTATTTTGGTCAATTTTCCATTTAAAAGCACTTGTCAGGAAGTTATTTAGCTAAATAATAAAGGTTGGGCCTTGTTGGACCCCATACACCAATTCGAGTCTCCTCTTTTCCTGGCTGTTTTACGGCCCCATGGGATTAGTCAAAGTGCAAGCAAACTGGCCTGACACCATGATTACCAATATAAAACGTATTAAAAAGATCTTTGCAATGGATTTTGAGGTCGAATTTTGTTTCGTTTTTGCAGACGTATTGGGAAATAACTTCAGATAGTTATTTGGACTATATCAAGGAATTTGTTGTTGGGATTGGTCCATGGAAGGATACAATTGTTCCGGTAAAAGATAACTATCTTCAAACGCCTACCGATCTAGTGACCCGAGCACACGCCCGTAATTTACAGGTAAATTACATTCACATTAGTATTCATTACAAACATGTGGCCTGTATGCGTTGTTCTTGGCATACGGTCGTTATTTTGCATTAAATTCTTTGTAACTCTGTTTTTCAAGACAAGACAGAGTTTGACTTTGAAGTCAAACCATCGGTTTTTCGAAATCCAAATTGATGTGAATTCATCACTTCTTCTTATCACCAATGTTTTCCCATATGTAATATGTTGGAAATTTCATCATACTCGTTGATATTTTCTTTATATCACATAAACTTTGTTTAGAAATGGAGTTATATCGTTTTGCGTTTGACCTCAAAAGTCAAAATTTATCGGTTGTATATTAACCCTCTACTGTAACTTGCAGGTGCATCCGTACACATATCGCAACGAAAACCAATTCTTGCATTTCAACTTCTGTGAAGACCCGTATATGGAATTCGATTACTGGATAAACGTAATTGGAGTTGATGGTCTTTTTACGGACTTTGCCGGTAGCCTCCACCATTATCAAGAGTGGACCGCTCCTCGATCTGCAGATGATCTTGATGCAAACAAACTATTGCAAAAGATTTCTTCGATGATCTTAAAGTTCGAGTTGCCGGGCAGAAAATAGCTTTTTCTTTCAAACATCTTTATATTCCAGGTGTGTTTTCTTGAACATCATTGATTTAGTAGTAAACAGTTTGGTTTTTTAAGATTTGCCTTGTTTACAACTAGTGGTTTTCTTGAATTTAAGTTATGGAAACATTGTTTTCTTGAAATTACTTTACTACCCTTCCCACCACCACCACCACCACCAACCGGAAGCCAGTGAACTGCAGGGTTGTTTTTCTAGATGGGGTTTTTGATTCACTAGTAAACAATTTGGTTTATGATCTACCTTGTTTTCCACTGGTGGTTTCTTGATAACAAATTCATGGTTTCAAGTTTAAATTACTTTACTACCCTTCCCACCACCACCATCAGCCTGATGAAATTACTATACAACCCTTCCCACCACCACCACCACCAACCTGAAGCCAATAAGCTGCAGGGCTGTCTTTCTAAAAGGGGTTTTTGAATCAGTAGTAAACAGTTTGGTTTAAGATCTACTACTTGTTTTCTACTGGTGTTTTCTTGATAACAAATTCATGGGTTCAAGTTTAAATTACTTTACTACCCTTCCTGCCACCACCACCACCAACCTGATGAAATTACTATACTACCCTTCCCACCACCAGCACAAACATGAAGCTAGTGAGCTGCAGAGTTGTCTTTCTAGATGGGGTTTTTGATTCAGTAGTAAACAATTTGGTTTAAGATCTACCTTGTTTCCCACTGGTGTTCTCTTTATAACAAATTCATGGGTTCAAGTTTAAATTATTTTACTATCCTTCCCTCCACCACCACCTAACTAATGAAATTACTATACTACCCTTCCCACCACCATCACGACGAACCTGAAGTCATTGAATTGCAGGGTTGTCTTTCTAAAAAGGGGTTTTGGATCAGTACTAAACAGTTTAAGATTTACCTTGTTTCCCACTGGTGGTTTCTTGATAACAAATTCATGGGTTCAAGTTTAAATTACTTTACTACCCTTCCTGCCACCGCCACCAACCTGATGAAATTACTATACTACCCCTCCCACCACAACCATCGCCTCGAACCTGAAGCCATTGAGCTGCAGGGTTGTTTTTCTAGATGGGGATCTTGAATCAGTAGTAAACAGTTTGGTTTAAGATCTACCTTGTTTTCTTAACCAATTCCTGGGTTCAAGTTTAAATTACTTTACTACCCTTCCCACCATCACCAACCTGATGAAATTACTCTACTACCCTTCCCACCACCAACCTGAAGCCTATGGGCTGCTGGATTGTGTTTCTAGATGGGGATTTTGAGTCGGTGGTAGTTGAGAATTAGGAATTTGAGATGCATAAACTAAAGAAAACAAGTTTAGAAGGGGTTGGTGTTACTTAACAATCTCCTAATCTTAAGTCATTCTTTTGATTTTTCGGCATAAATATATCGATAAGAATCTCCCTACATAAACGTAAGACTTTGGTTTAACCCGAAGTAGAAATATGGCTGGCAGCGCAGACCTAGGTGCTATTACGTCAAAAACAGGCGAACACGTAGTTAGGAGGCCACGAGGCCGGCCCGCCGGCTCCAAAAACAAGCCAAAACCGCCCATCATCATCACCCGAGACAGTGCCAACACACTAAGGGCTCACGCCATGGAGGTTAGCCCGGGGTGCGATGTTGGTGAGTCCTTAGCCACCTTCGCTAGGCGGAAGCAACAGGGTATCTGGGTGCTAAGTGCCGCCGGGTGCGTGAGCAACGTCGTGTTGCGTCAACCATCTCCGTCGCCAACGAATCCGGCTTCCGGGCCGATAGTCACCCTTCACGGCCGCTTCGAGATTTTATCGTTGATCGGTTCGGTGTTGCCACCACCGGCTCCGCCAGGTGTCGCCAGCTTAGCCATATATTTAGTTGGCCCACAGGGTCAGGTCGTGGGTGGTGCCATTGCGGGCCCACTCATGGCCTCAGGACCTGTCGTGATCATGGCGGCCACTTTCATGAACGCCACTTTCGATAGGCTGCCAATCGACAAGGATGAAGCAGTTGCGGTGGCGGCCACAACCACCACCACGGCGGCGCACGATCAACGTCACCACCGTGTTATCGGTGATATCTACAACCCCCCACAAAACCTGCTTTCTAACACCAGCCTCCCGCCTCCCGAGATTTATACTTGGTCAACGGCTCGACCGTTGTCAAAGACACGAGAATATGTTTAACGACAGAAACAAAATGGAGCCGAAATTTGAAAATTCAAATATGACATAAAACTATAGCATGTGTTTTTCTCAACATAATGTTATCAGGAGGAGTAGAATTTAGTAAAAACTAAAAATATGTATATCGTCTTTCTTCTATAAAATTAAGCGTAAACGATGAAAAATCGAGATGTACACCATATATATATACACACACACACATAGGGTTGGGTTCACGTGAGACCAGGCTGTTTTAGTGAGACCCGTGAGACCACATTTTTACACTTGAAACACTGTGAAGGTTTAAAAAAGTCGAACCTTCACAGCATTTTGCTGTGAAGTTTCAAGTGTAAAAAGCTGGTCTCACGGGCCTCACGAAAACAAGCTGATCTCACGTGATCCCAAGTCCACACACACACACACACACACATATATATATATATACACACACACACACACACACACATATATATATATATATATATATATATGTATGTAGACTTGGGATCATGTGAGACCAATCTGTTTTCTTGAGACCCGTGAGACCACCTTTTTACACTTGAAACTTCACAGCAAAATGCTATGAAAGTGACTTTTTTTAACCTTCACAGTATTTTTGCTATGAAGTTTCAAGTGTAAAAATGTGGTCTCACGGGTATCACGAAAACAAGTTTGTCTCACGTGAACCCAACCCTATGTATGTATATGGGACATTCTTTTAAGAACCCATGAAATTGTGATAACCTTGAGAACTTGATCATCATGTGTTATTTCATATGATCTTGTTTCATATAAGACTAGGATTTAGAATATTGATTAACATATATTTGTTTTATAATATGTTTGTTTGACATGTACTCGATTCACAATGTGAGCATCTTTTACGTGTTTGTGAAACAAAAAATACATGTAAAAAAGTTTCACATTGTGAACTGAATACATGTGAAACAAACACTTTGTAAAACAAACGTATATTAATCAATACATTAAATACTATATTTAGACGGATAAACATCATGTGAACAAAACCTTAAGGTAGAAGTTCTCATTAATCTCATAAATTTTAAAGTTCTGAAATGATCAAGTTTCTATATACATGTATATGTATACACACATACAAAGTTCATATCTGTATGGTTTCCGTTTTAAAATCAAAGCTAGAGAACTCATTGGCACAAATGGCCAGACAAATATTCACAAATACGATAACTAAATTTGTATTGATCAGAATTCCAAAAGCGATTTATATGACGATATATGAAACTCTATTAACAGATCTTCCCTTGTTTTCTGTATTATAGGAAGGTGATGGATCATGGGTTATATTTAATATGGAAATCAAAATGTCTTCCAGGTTCTCCAAGGAATCCCAAATGTCTGTATTTTGGGGGTTTTGAGTCCTCTGTCTCTTGAGACTTAGGCAATCTCATAGTTATCTCTGGATTTGATAAATCTTTACCAGCCACCAGTGGAGCTGGACTACCATTGAATTTTTAGGTTCAATAGTACCTTTATTGACATTCGTTGGAGAATGTCCATTCATCTTAATCTTCTGTATAGGGCCAGAAAATGAGCCTTTGTTCTGGTTAATAGAAAAAGAAAGAATTTGTCTTTCTAGCATCGAGACTTGTTTTTGGAGAACAAGTTTCTCGTTGATGATTTTGAAATTTCCGGACAGGGTTTCACAATGATCACAAAAAAGAGTACGATTTTGGCTAGAATCTTTAGTCGCTGAAAAGTCTAGAAGGGGTTTTGTATAAATTCCAAGGGAATGAGAAACGAAAAAATTCTTTCCTAAATGTTGTTTAGCAGAAGAAATGGCTTCTTTGTAGTTATTGAAACTTTTGTATATGGGACTGAGATAGCCTTGAGTACCATCAAGAACTTCGATCCATGTATGAAAGAAACATGTCTTTTTACCCTTAAATACAACATAAAATTTAAAACGTTTAGCTTTCTAACTAAAAAAAATTATAATAAAGCATTTAAACAAGCAATAAAATTCTTTACGTCTTTTGGGTTTTTGCCAAAGGCTACCCAAAGATTGTTTACAAGACAACGTTCTTCTTTACTTAGAGAGAGATGATTTTGCGTCATGAAAGAAACATTACTACAATTTGGAAAAACAATTAGTTCGTTATTTCCAAATCTAAGACGTTATTGATAACTAGGTCTACTCTGGCTATTAAAAGTCTGATTAATTACTGGTCTTGTAGTAGGATTATTTCCTGGAGGAATCCCTGGTCTTAGAGAGGGTCTAGACATCTGCAAAAATAAAAAAATACATGTTAATTATTTTAATTTATCTTCTAATAATCAACTAAGAATATCTGCAGCTTTATTATCACTATCTTTAATGTGCTTAATTTCTATAATTAAAAAAGTATTATTGATTTTATCTAAAAAAATTAACGTACGTCTCCGACTACTTCTTTTGCTTTTACCTTTCATTTTTTTTAAGGGTGTCCGGGCCAAAGCCCGACTAATCCCCGGCAAATTTGGAGGCTAAACATGGCCCCACTTAAATGTCGCCAACACTTCCCTCCCAGGGCTCGAACTCGGGTTCATGACTATGTCATGCCCAAGACTTTACCATTAGGCTGGAAGGTCTTTGACTTTTACCTTTCATTTTATTGTAGAAAGAGACAATCGTTTCATAGTATGTTCTAGTAGTAATTTCTTTTTTCAATATGATAAAAAACTCAAAACTATCTAAAGCATAATTTATGACAATTCTGCATATATACTACTAATATTACCCTTCTCTTCATAAATGTCGCTGTTATAACAACATATTTTTTCAGAAGTCCGGTCTACATATTTATGAGGTTTACATAAAAGATTCGCTCCCCAACCTATACTACAACCATCAATCTCAATTATCAAATAATCAGTATCAAGAGGTAAAGCAAGCTCAGGTAAAGATTTTATCTCATTTTTCAATTGTTGTACAAGTTTAACATCTTCTTGATTAAAATGTTTTTGACCATTTGGAGAAGTTTTTGCATATAAAGGACCAGCAACTTTTCCCATATTTTTTATAAAAGATCTATAATTTATCAATCCTAAAAACTTTTGCAACTGCTTTAAATCTTCTGATTTATCTGGAAAATCAAGAGCCTTTTGAGCAATATGAGGTTGCAAAGTTATTTTTCCTTCTCCAATATTTACTCCCAAAAAGTCCATGTATTCATGAAATAATTGCATTTTCATTTTCATTGTACTCAAAATCAAACCATGTCTTATAAATTCTAAAAAAAACAATTTGCAAACGACCTTTATGGTCTTTTTTTTATTTTTACTGAAAACTAAAATATCATTTATATATATGGCCACAAAATTGCTATGTTTATTAAAAATGTCTTTCATTTTTCTTTGAAAAATACTTGGGACATTCTTAAGCCCGAAAGACATGACTAACCATTCGAAATGACATTCAGGACCAATAATTAATCGAACTTTTAATAGCCAGACTAGACCTAGTTATCAAGAACGTCTTAAATTGTGTTTTATATATATATATATATATATATATATATATACTAGAAGTGTACTCGTGCAATGCAGCGAAATACATCTCGACTTTAATGTTTCGTTTCTTTCTTCGATGTTATAATACATTTTTACGTGGTTTTAAGAAAATGATAATGTTTTTACTTTTACATAAAATATAAATATGAAGATATCATAAGAATTTGAAAAAAAAAAATTTGATATTGGTATCAAACTAACTATTTAAAATTTCTACTTTTTTGTTTAATTTTTTTAATTTAATTTTTCTTATTTTAATTTGATTTATGTTT